TTAAATTATAAATGTAATCCTTGTAATAGTTATGTCTTGCATTTTATAATAATACAATTTATTATTAATAATTAAGCCTAAACTCTAATAAAAAAACAACCTTTGAACCATTTTTGAACTGGTGCAAACCGGTTCAGATCAGTTCGGTTCCAGTTCGGTTCGGATTGAAGTTTTTAATTTCAGTTCCAAACTGAAACGTGCTTTAAATTTTGGTTCAGTTTCAGTTCAACGTTAGAACCAAACCGAATGGTTACATTCGGAGTTTTAATCTCATCTTATAATTTATTACTTTCAATTTTTTTCGAATGTCAACTGTTTCCTTTCATAGGTCTCTGACTTCCTTATCAATTTTTTTTAAATAATTTAGTATTCAATCATCTTTTTCTTTTTTTGTCAATGGTTTTTTTTCTCCTAATAAAATAAATTATACATTATAAAATATTTTTATTAAATATTTTAATATGAAAATTTTTAAAAAATTACTATCAGAATATCAATTTTCTCTTCCTATTTTTATTCTTCTTCATTTTTTTGCTTGTGATAATGGAGATGTTTATTTTTTTTCATCTAATATCAACACATTTTCTATTTCAGTCTCTTCTCTCGTTATTGACATTGATGCTGCTGATGTTGATTCTGTTACTGAAATAAATACTACTTGTATTAAAGTCTTTTTTTTTACTTTAGTGAAACTTGATCTTCTAGATAAAAAAATTAGAAATTCTATCTTTATCTCTTTTTTGTTTTTTTTTTTGATAAAAGCTAATTAAAGTCCTTTGTGACATTTCAAAAATTTTTAAATATTTTAAAATTTATAGAAGAATTTTGATCCTTTATATATACATATTTTTCCATCTCATTTTTTCAAAATTTAAAATAACTCGAATATTTTTAAAATGTATCATTATATTTCATTTTACAGATGTATTATCTTTTATTAAATGTCAACCCTCCTTTTTTTTTTTAATACATTATGATATTATTTTTAATTAATTATATAAATATTAAATTCATGTCACAAATTATTTTAGAATATATAATTATAAAATAAAATTTACTTTTGATATGACGCGAAAGATAATATTATTAAATATTTTTATATATATGTGTACATACATTAAATAAGTTATTATTTAAAGATGAGACCTCACTGGTCGTTTAAAATTAATAAAAATTAAATAAGTTATTATTAGTGATATATCTTTCATTATATTACAAAGTATTATGTGTATTGTCTATGTATTTATTAAAAATTTATTAATTAAATTTCTATATATTGAAAAATATTATCTATTATTTTAAAAAATAAATATAAATATTTTTTAAAACAAATCAAAATAATAAAAAAAGAAATGAAGCAAACTTTGTTGTTAAAATAAATATAAAAGTAAAAAGCGAAATGTTGTATTATATACAATATGAAATTTTATTGATATATAATTATAATACAAGTTTTATAATATAATACAAATAATACAAATATATAACTTTTATTTTTATAAAATTATACATTTTCGACAAGTTTAAAATCATACATTATATGCAGGATGTAATAGTAATTGATTGAGTTTCTATATTTATTATAAATAAATCTGTTGTTATCTATGTAAACCTTCTATAATTTACAAAGACAATGGGATAAAATAATACTAAACTAATAAATAAAACTAAATATAACTACAAGAATACTAATCTCAAAATGAAACGAATCACAATATAAAGGTTTATACGTAGAAGGAATTAAGTATGATCAATTATGAAAGAGACATATTTACTATTAACAGTGATATGAAGACTTGTTAATGGAGCAAATAGTTTATCAATTATCAAAAGAATACAATAAACAAGGAACTCAAAGGATTTTGTAATATTAACTTTATTACTTAACAAATCCTAACTAATTCGAGAATTAAGAAACTAAGATTGAATTGAACTGAACTCTAGAACTGACAGAGTTAAGGAAATTCTCAGCCTTTATATACATTATTATTTTAACTGCTAAGCTGACTTGTAATCTGACTGTAAACTTCACTAGTAACTATGCTAATATCCTGACTAGTACCTTAACTGTTAATTTAACTTGTACCTTGACTAGGATATTAACTCGTATTCTGGCTTGTACTCTAACTTTGTGTTCTAGTGTTACAGATTAACAAGAATTTAGGATTTTACTAATTTAAGTAATAATATCTAATTCGTACTACAGATTATGAAATTGATCTACTGTAATACTATATATAAGGATAAAATTAATAATAAAATAATATAGATATGAATAAATATGACAATAAAATATATAAATATATAAATTAATAAGTATAAAAATAAACAGAGGTAACAATGTGGCAAAACTGAACTATGTGTCATCTATAATGACTAGTTATGTCCACTTGTATTTGACACAGCAAAACTGAATTACGTGTTAACCATCTGACATAACAAATGTGATTTGAGTATCAGCCATATTGCCTAGGGGATAAGTCATAGTCACACATCTTTGACATTCATCTTACGCAGCGAACGCGATTTGAACATCAGCCATATTCTCTAGGGGATAGGTCATAGCAACACATCTTCGACATTCATCTTATGCAACAAACATGATTTGAGTATCACATAGGAGACTGCACATCTTTGACACAGCAAAACTAAATCATACATCACTCATCTGATGCAACAAAACTGAATCATGTATCAATTCTGAAGCACCATAACCTATACTAAGTGATCATCTTGAGGCACCATGACATAATTATGTCATGGTACCTCAAGATGATCACTGCCTGTTGCTTCACTTGAAACTCAGGTTCTAGGACAATTCTTTTTTTGATGATTCTTTTGGCAATATGGAAATTGTTATATAGTATTGTGCAAATGTAATCATAATGCAAGACTTTTTGTTGAGCCTAAGTTGTTCATTCTATGTTTATATCAATTATGTAATATTGTAAATCTTTATTATTGTCTTCTATTTTCTCCGTTTCTGTAAAGAATTATATAGGTTAGCCTTTTCATGAAATTCAGAAAGAAGGAATAACAATAAAAAACTTGCCTTTTTTACTTTTTCAAAATCTTTTTGAGATTTATGTAAGGAATATACCCTCAATTTTTTCTTTTTAATCTCCTTAACAAAGTCTGCAAGAATTGTCACAGGTCCAACCTTGAAACTAGCATCTCTAAACTTTTGTTGAGTCATATTAAGGAAGGTGCAACTGGTGATCTCTCCATTGTGTAAGATTTCAAAATGAGTTGTAGGTCCTTCTACCCATGCAAAAATTCAATAAGTTCATCGTTTTTACTTTCGAACCACCCCAGCTAACTTGGGAACGGGTTTAGTTGTTGTATAAGTAGAAGCTGGAGTACTTGTTTTAGATGTTTCAGACATGATGCTTTTAAAGGTTATTTTTGAATATATTCAGTCAAAAAACTTGAATGTTAAATAAATAATTAATAGATTGAATAATATTATCATTTTATATCTTATAACTAATTTTTTACTAAGTTACTATTTGATCTATAAATATATTGAAGTACATACTCTCTAATAATATTTACAGCTTGATTATTTCTTTAGCGTGTTTAACCTTTGGTTACATTTTCTAACCATAAGTTATAACAATGCAACATGTAGCTTTTTTCGTAACCACGAGTAGATTTTTGTTTGAATTTCAAGTCTTCTTCCATTCCTATATGATTATAATTTCCAATATTTCTGGTTCTCTAACAAATTTATATGGGCATATATCAATATTGAAGCTTGCAAATTTGCTTTCTAAAGATTATATAAATTTATTATGGAAATGTACTAATGGACATTTATGGAATGCATCACTTTTTAGTATAAAAATTATGGATACGTGGTGTCCCTATTGCTCAAAATGTAAGCATTGTTTCGTGAAATTGTATTAAAATATCTTGGACCGCCATCTAACTTAAAACATCGGAATATCCCGCAGGATCAGAACTTGATATTTATTACCCAGAATATGGTTTTGCAATTGAAGTACAAGGGCAACAGCATAAAAAATATATCAAATTCTTTCACAAAGGAGATCCCCAATAATTTTATCCAACAACAAGAACAGGATCAACTCAAGAAAGAATTATGTGAAGTAAACTGGAATATGTTTAATATGTTGATATTATGAAGAACAGTTATTCCGGACCATATTTGGGAATTGGGTCTCATCGGATAATATTAAAACTTTAAATGCATTTAATCACTGTACTAAAATCAGTTTAAAATTCAATATTTTATTAATCTAGCAAAAAAAATTTTATTAAAAAATTGTTCCCAATTGATATATCAAGTTATTGCGGATTATTATAAAGTAGCATGAAGTTTATGTAAACAATACTAACTAAAGTAGACACATAAGTGTCAATGCAAATGTAAATACACGAAGAAAATCCTAAAATCTATTTTTTTCATTCTAGTCCTCTTATTAACTGGTGAATCATTTATATTAACTCGATCCTTCAACAAACCCATATTACCTCGGAGCTTCGGATCTTATTTTTGGTCAAAATTCTATTAGAAAGGTGGCACCCCAATAAATACTCGAAGGGCCTCCCGGAAAACTGGAATATTTGCACCCGTAGGCTGATTATAATAGTTGAGGAGAATATTAATTTGTGCACGAGTTAAATTTTGTAATGCACTTCTATTTCGGGGGAAATGTATGTTAGCGGTGGAGGGGTATATGCCCCGCGAGTTAGGGAGTTCTTGTAAAAGATCGGTGTTCCGTGTTGCATTTGCATTTATGGTCCTTGCCCTGTTTACTTGATGACTAAAAAAAAAGTTAGTCATGAATATTTAAAGGATAACAATAATAGCCATTCAAAATACTTACCTCACATCAATAAGGTTATAGATATTCCCATTTTGAGCGCACGACTCGTTGATTACATTATTTATTGTTTGATTGATAGCACCATTTTGTGCACATGCATTGTTGATTGCATTATTTATCGTTTGACTGATAGCACCATTTTGAACGCAGGAATCATTGATTGCATTATTTATTGTTTGACTGATAGCACCATTTTGAGCGCAGGAATCGTTGATTGCATTATTTATTGTTTGACTGATAACACCATTTTGAGCGCAGGAATCGTTGATTGCATTATTTAATGGTGAAGGAAATAATTCCTCCCTGTGCAAAAGCTTGTGTAAACCATGCTGGAGCAATTTGAGAATCGCCTGTAACACTTGCTATAAACGTAAAATCAATTACAGTGATCGTATATTAAAGACTTTTCAAATGATATAGTTATAGTTACCACGTGTTCTAACTAATGCGTGTTGGTATTCGTCCCATTCGCCAAGAACGGCATCTGATATATTTCCTAACGTATCTGCGAAGTACAAAATTTTTTTTAATTGAATCTGATCGAGGATTGTCATCATTTATTATGAGACTAACCACTTGTTGTTCGAAGTTTGTGTACTACTTTTCCTACCCGACCAATAACTGAATGTGAAGGAGGATTTGAAGCTAGTGGCGGCATAATTGTTGAAGGAAACATTGTTGGTAGATTTGGTTGAGACATATTAATTGAGAAAAGATAGAAATAATAGAGAAAAAGTAAAAAAAAATAATAATAATTATGAAAATTGGAATTTTTAATTTTTAATAAACAAGATGGAGAAAATAAAACTTTTGTTTTTATGTGATATTTAAGTAATAAAAAACTAAGATCAAAAGGAAAATCATAACAATAAAAGTATATTTCTAAAATGGTTATCTGATTCGGAAAAAAAAAGTATTAAGACAGACAATAACAATCAATAAACAAATATCTAAAATCGTATTAGTCATTATCAACAATAATTTTTAAAACTAACAATAGAAGTATATTTCTAAAATGGTTATCTGACTCGGAAAAAAAAAACGTATTAGTCATTGTCAACAATACGTAACAATTTTCAGCCATCAATAAACAAATATCTGACAGTAACTTTTTTTATGTTGCATTACTTCTGTGTAACCATAGAACTCTTTCCTTATTATATACGCGTTGTGATAAGAATAAGTATAAGGCTATAAAGGAAATGAACTTTGTTGTCTTTATCGGTAGTGTTATCAAAATTCATTTGTTGTGGGAACTTGAAATTTCCATCTATTTTACATTTTCAAGAGCATTTCAATTACCCAAATGACAAAAATTTATTCATATTTGCAAAAAAATTTATTTAATAATTTATAAAGTTAAAATTTAATAAAAAATTAAATTAAATAAATATGTCAAAATATTCTATTGTGATGATAATTCGTGACAACGACGGAAATTTATGCCCACTTAATATATGTGTAAATATAAAGAGAGAGAGAAAAAAAATGTTAGAAGATAAATTCTCAAATTCTTGATTTTTATTGAAATTTATAAAAAATTTGAACGTACCAAATCGCGTAAATATCGTTTTTCTCCCATCCACTTAACCAACAAATTTAATGCATCTGGTCGTTGCATTTTACCATGTTCGACAAGAATATCAGTTAATGCATCATTTACATCTTTGGCCATTCCTTTGGCATCCCTAGGAAATAAACAACAAAAAAAAAAAAAAGTTGAAAAAATATGATTAAAAATATCTTAAATTTTTAAAAATTGTGCACTACTTACCCGCAGACAAAAATCATTGCTTCTTTTTGACTCAGTAATTCGAAAATCTCACTTCCACGGATTCTCATAAGATTCTGAACATATTTACTTTTTGTTAAACTATTATTATTATTATTATTATTATTATTATTATTATTATTAGTAATAATATCAGGAGTTCTACTAAATGTTACTAATAATTCTTTTAATATTCCTCGTTGTAAAAATCCCTCAAGTTCTTGATGATACAAAAAATCTTTTTCTTTTTCCCTACATCCATAAAATAACCAAGTTTCACCTAACAATTGTTTTTTTTTTGATTCCAAAATTTGATTTTTTTCAATAATTTGTTTTTCACGATGTTGTAAAAATCCAACAAATGGGGCTACTCCAGTTCCAGGACCAATCAGGATCAAAGATTTTGACAAATCCGATGGAATCTTAAATCCCGTTGAGTTCGATTTCATGAAAATTGGAATGTTTATTATCGGGGGAGTTAAAATTGTTCGAATATTCATTTCGGTTACATTACCACTTAATTTATTTAACCAAGGAGTACAAACTCCAAATTTATGAACGTCATAAGGGGTGGGTGTATAATAATCTATTATATTGAACGCGAAATGAAGTTCTTCACGGTTTACCAGAGGTGAATTGACAATGGAATAATATCTCGGTTGATGTGCTGGTAAAACATCAAGAAGTCGTTCCACTGGGGGTTTACATGAAGGAAAAGTTACCAGTAAATCAAGAAGTGTAGGAATTTGTTCACGTAAACAATTGAATTGTTTAACACCTATTTGAAACATTTTTTTCAAAATAGATAAAAAGAAATGAATATTTAAAATTAAATATGAAATTGATTAAAAATTGTAAAAATTGGTAAAATTGGGAAATTACGATGTTTACCTTGCTTACTACACAAAAAAAGTAAAGTTTTCTTTTCTTGGTCATCTGAGGTGTATTCTGCCATCATTCTTAGTAAAGCTTTACGTGGTGAAGAAGTCAAATCAACACCGTATTGAAATAACTCAAAAATTGATGTGGATTTGGCATTTTTCAAATGTGTTGAAAGTTCTATATATATATATATATATATATAAACTTAGTAAGTAGGAAAAAGAAAAAAAAAAATGAATCGAACCATATACCATTTTCTTTTTCAATATGTTCAACCGAAATTTCTTGATTAGACTCATTTTCATTAATTCCTAAGGCGGTCAATATGTTTTGAACCAATAGATTATCATTGGGCGCAATTATTCCGAAAGCGTCTCCCGGGAAAAATTGAATTTCTTCACTATGATCTTTAATGTCCAATTCCAAATGTAATGTTTTTTTAATGGCATCAAAACGAGTTAAACAACGTACGGCATTTAATTTGGCATTAATAATTGGATTGGGAGTAATTATGAATGAAGGTAAAAATGAATTTTTTTTTTCTTTGTTGGATTTAATAATTTTACAATGTTCTATTGGAACACGTGGTAAAGCGGTAAGTTGGGTAGAATTAGCGAGCTCTGATAAATCTAAAATAATTTTATTGCCATTTATTCCTAATTCAGAAGAATGTTTTTCTAATTCTTTGATTGATAGATTTTTAACTGTAGAAATGACACCTTCTGGATTTTCAATTTCACCAATCTCTTTACTTTTACTTTTACTTTTACCTTTTCCATCTCCTTCACCTTCACTTTTTCCATTTTCCTTAATTTCACTTTTTTCATTTCCTTCAACTTCACTTTTTCCATTTCCTTTAATTTCGCTTTTTCCATTTTCTTTAATTTCATTTTTTCCATTTTCCTTAATTTCGCTTTTTCCATTTTCCTTAATTTCGCTTTTTCCATTTTCTTTAATTTCGCTTTTTCCATTTTCTTTAATTTCGCCTTTTCCATTTTCTCCATTTTGTTTTTGTGTACATATTTCAGCCAGGTGATCCCATAAATTTGCAATCCAAGAATCCACCACTAATTCTAAACTAAAGAATTCAAAAAAAAAAATGATTCAATAATCTAAAAACTAAATGATATAAAAAAAAAAATCTAAAAAAAAAAATAAATATTTGATTTACCCCACTGCATCATCAGCCAAACCTTTCGTATAAAAAGGTGAGGCACCAAATTCCAATAATCTCTTCTCTAAACGTTTTGCTGTATTATTAAAATTCGAATAATTTGTATCTCCAAGCCCTTATATTCCATAATTATTTTTTTTTTATGATTAAAATAATTAAATTGATAAATAAATAAATAAATGAATGAATGAATTAATTAATTTAATTAAAATGTTAATTTAGAAATAAATTTATATATTATAAAAAAAAAAAAAAAATTTGAGTATTTTACCAAGAATCGTGAATTTAGCATGACTTAAAAAAGTTTTCGATTTAATTTTTCTCATATAACGAAAGAATTTTGTGGAATTATCTGGAGGATCACCATCGCCGGTACTTGAAGTAACAAAGATTAGCACCTTTTGCTTTGACAAATCTGTCTAAGATCAAAAAAAAAAAATTTAAACTTTAATATTGAAAGACGATCGGAAAGACGGATCAGATAACATTTAACAACCACGATAGGTTTTTTTTTTGATTTGGACATACTTTATCGTGTTCATTTAGAACGTAACATTCGCTAGAAAATCCACGCTTTATTGCCTCTTCGTGTATATTTTTGGCAATCCATTCAGCATTACCAGTTTGGGATCCATAGAAAACCACAAGGTTTGGACTTTTTTCGGTTGACATTTTTTTTTTAAAAAATTTTTTTAAAAAAAACAATCGAAAATATTTCATTGGTCGATCTAAAAAAAAATCGACAATACATTATCTACGAATAAAAAAAAAAAGGGGGTTGGTTCGAGAAAGCGATTTATAATTATTATTACCATAATGTCGTTCCTCAACGAATTTAAACCATTTTTGGAAAATATCGCGAAACCCGAGAATTTTCTATTATTATCAGAAAAGAAACAAAAGAAATTCTCCTCAGAAGCTCTTCGAGTCACAAAAGCATTATATAATTTAGGTAGGTCGAAATCTTGCCAATAAAACTTTTAAGATCTCAAAAATTTTATATATTTCATTTTCATATTTTTATATTATTATAATTTAGGGAAATCCGAGGAACAAAGGGAACCGAAATATATAACATATAATTATAATAATAATAATAATAATAATGATCAAATCAAAGTGTTGAAATTTGGAAAATTTAATAATGAACAAATTTGGAACGAGCTTAATATGAAAAATGAGAGATTTTTGGAATATGTGAACGAAGAATTAGATGATCTTGATGAATTGGTTGGTGATGGTAGGGGAAATTATGATGATGATGATGAATCGGATTTTACTGAGATAGAAGAAGAGATGATGGAAGAAGAAGGGATGGAAGAAAGAAAATATAATAAGATTCATTCGATCAATATGGAAATTGATAATAAGGATAAACAAGTAATAAATAATAATTTACAAATAATTCTTTGATAAATTATAAATATAGATTTTTGATTAATAATAATAATTTTTATTAGACAAATGGGAAGAAGGATAATTTAATTATTACTACAAATGATATTGAGGAAGATATTGAGGAAAATGATGATGATGATATTGATGATGATGATGATGAAAAACAAAATGGAATAATAAATAAAGAAAATCCAAATGTACATTCTGAATTAGATGATGAATTTTTTAATTTAGAAGAATTTAATAAAATTACTGAAAATGATCAAGCTTTTGAAATGAATCCAAATTTTGATGATGATGATGATGATTTTTCAGGTAGTTGAAATATAAAATAAATTTAGTAATATTATGGTAATTATTATAATAAATATTATTATAACAATCCAATTATATAACAATTTAGATCCTGATGAGTTAGCTGATGAGAATGAATTGAATGCTAATGGTAAAAAAAACTTCGATCATTATAATATCTATTCAATTATATATATAAATATATATATATATATATTTTCCATATATTTATTATCTCTCACTTTCTCTCTCTCTCTTAAGATTTGTTAAAATTTTGTTTTAAAATTTTTAGGCATAGAATATAAGGATTTCTTTGATCCACCAAAGAAAAAAACCTTTAAATTCAAAAAAAAGAATTTGATTTCGACTGAAAAGACCAATTACAATGATGATAATAATGAAAATGATGATGATATCATGGACATCATAAACTTTGAATCAGATCAAAAAGAAGAAGTAGAAGAAGAAGAAGTAGATGATGATGATGGTGAAGATAAAGGAAATAATCATTTAAATGTTATTGTTCGTGATTTATTTGCTCAAGATGAAAGTGATAAAGATGAAAAAGCAAAATCTACATTTGAAAAGAAACAAGAAAGAATAAAAAAACAAATTGAAAGAATAGAAATGGAAAATATTGCGGACAAAGATTGGACACTTATGGGAGAGGTACAATAATATTTAATAATAATAATAGTTTTATAATAATAATATTTTTATAATATTGATATTTTTATAATATTGATATTCTTATAATATACATTTTTATATATATTTAAGGCATCAAGTAAAAATAGACCTTTTAACAGTTTATTGGAAGAAGATTTTGAATTTGATCACATTGATAAGGTAAGTTGTAATAAAGAGAGTAGTAAAGGATTGGTCAGGGAAAAGAAAAAAGAAATTTATTAATTAGGTTTCATTGTTTAGCCAGTCCCTGTAGTAACCGAGGAACTTACAGAAAAACTTGAAGAGACGATCAAACGGAGAATATTGGATGTAATTATTTTTTTCAATTCTTTTGTTAGTTATTCGGTTATAATTAATAAAATTAATAAAATTGATTGATTATTATATTATTTGTTTCAGGAAACATTTGATGATGTAGAACGTAAACGTGATCCCAATTTTAAACCTTTTTTACCTTCAAAATTAGTTGAAATATCAGATGAAAAATCAAAGAAATCTTTGGCGGAAATTTATGAAGAAGATTACATTAGACTAACGAAGACGACAACAGAATCGGGAGAAGTGATTAATGAAAAAGATGAAGCATTAAAAAAAGAACATCAAGAATTGGAAAATATGTTTAAGGATTTATGTTTCAAGTTAGATGCCTTAAGTAATTTTCATTATACACCGAAGCCGGTATGTAATAATATTTTATTTATTATATTTTGTTATTATGAAAAATTTGTAAATTAAATAATTTTTAATTTTTTGTGTTGATTTAGCCTAAACCTGAAATCAATGTTATTACAAATGTGCCAGCTATCGCTATGGAAGAAGTAATACCAATTAATGTTAGCGATGCGACCTTATTAGCACCTGAAGAAGTATATGATAAGAAAAAAGGAGAAGTTAAGGTATAATAATAATAGTAGTAGTAGTAGTAGTAATAGTAGCATGAAGGAAGAAAGAATTAAAGAATTTAATCCCATTTTTTATTTTTATTTTTATAGGGTGATACTGAAATGAATTCAAATGATAAGAAACAATTACATGCCAAGAAAAAACGATTAAAGAAGAAAGAGAAGGCTATGAGAGAACGTGAGATAAAAGTAATTGAAAAGTATGTATACAGATAACGATAGATAATAACTTTTACAGATCGATTATCTCTTCATAAATATATAAAATATTTATTTATTTATTAATTAATATGATTCTTTGATAGGATGAATCCTGGATTAGGAAACAAGCACTCCAAGAAAAAAATGTTAGATACATTAATAGGTCAAAAGGTAGATATTTTCATCTAATAACAAATAACATATTTATTATATATTTTATATTTACATTTTATATTTTATATTTTTAGAATGTCACAATTATTGACAAGGATGGTACCCAAAAATCTACAGTTAATAAGAAAGGTAGAGATATCGATTTGAGTTCTTCAAATCTGAAATTATAGTCCTGAATTTTTTGTTGTTATTTAAAAATAAAAATTGGATTATAATTTCAAATAAAGAATAAAAAAAAATTATTATTATTATTATTTATTATTTGGGATTCGATTTTTTTTGATTTATTTATTATTCAGATAATAATTATAGGTTCTTCATTATTATTATTATTATTATTATTATCATTGTTATTATTATCACTATTATCATTATCATTATTATCATTATCATTATTATTATTAGATTTTAATTTCTTCATTTTTGGTTCATCATTACTGTCATTCTCATTATTATCATCATTCTCATCATTATTATCGTCATTACTATTTTTATCCTCGTCATTGCCATCATGATGTTTTGGATATTTTGTTCGCAATCTACGTTTTTGTTGTTTTTGTTTTTGTTGTTTTTGCGGTTGTTTTTTCGGCTGTTGTTTTGACTGTTGTTGTTTTGGCCGTGATTTTCTTTGTTGTTTTTTCTTTTGAATCAAATCCATTATGGAACAACCTTCCTCTGCTGGCACAAAAGGTTCTTCTATGTACACATCAATTCTATTACTTAAATTTAATAAATCTTCATTTTTAAATGAATCTGGAATATACCATTTGGTTCCATTTTCATCTAAAATAAATAAATAAATTGAATATGATGTATATTTAGATCTAAAATACGTGTTAAATACAAGGCAAGGATTTCATTATTACATACCATTATCATCTTTATGAAAATACATAACATCAAGAAGTAATCGGAAATAAACATTTTTCTCTAATGCATCTTCTATTTCTTCGCTATCCGGTTTAATAACTTTTAATTAATAAATAAATTTATTTTAATTTAAAATAAATTTTTATGATAATAAATAATTAATTAATAATAATAATAAATAATAATAAAAAATAATAAAATAAATAATAATAATAAATAATATTTAAACTTTACGAACCATTATCTTCATTAAATTTATTAGATTCCGTCATCGTTATAGATTTTGAATCATCATCATCATCATCAACAATATCTTTTCCAAGGCCTAAAAGTATTTTCAAGTATTCTCTTTCATCCGCTACCTTTTCTATATACTTTTTATTTTTTAAAAAAAATTATATTAATTATATTAATTATTAAATGTATTATGATATAAAATTATAATAAATAACAAAATTCTAAATAACAATTATAACATATATATATATATTTATTTATTTATTTATTTATTTACCCGTTGAATCCATCTAATTAAATTAAGATTATTCTCCTTAATTAATATAGTAACAACAACCCCAAATTTTTCATTCCAATGTAATCCTGGTTTCACTTCAAGATCAATACATTTTTTAGACCTATAAAATCGATTTAATCAATTTAACCAGTGAAAATATTTTAGAACGTTGGATAAGATATTTTTATCATTTCTAATTAGTAAATAAATTAAATTATTATTCTTACCTTTTCTTTTTGATCTAGAAAAAATAATTCATAATAATAATAATAATAATTTAATATAATAAATAATAATAATTTAATAAATAAATAAATAAATAATAATAATAATAATAATAATTTAATAAATTGTAAATAAATTATATAACAAACCTTTTTTGTAGTAGGACTTTCTTGAACATCATTATCATGATCATAATTTTTAACAATGTTTGTACTCTTGAGAAAAAGCTATGAAAATTTTCAACTTGTTAAGTCATAATATTTAAAAAAAATATACAAAATATATATGTTTACCTCGATGAACGCAAATTTGGTATTTTTTATATGGGTAAGTAATTTCTCGGTTATAAATAATGAAAATTCTTTAAGATCTTTTTGAGAATTTGATAGGTAACCATCTTTATCTTTAAGATCTAATAAGATATTATTTAAAAGTTCCAAAACTGATAACTAATAGAAGTAAAATTTTTTATAATAAGTATAATATAATTATTTACAATAATATTTGATTTTTGATAAATTAATTAAATTATTTATTATTATTAATTCAAACCTTAAAGAAAATTGTATCGGATTTACAACGAACGCCTATACGATGAAACATTGTTACAATCTGATTGAGACTTTGATCATCAAGATCATTATAATTTTCCAAATAATTACAATAAGTTGAGACAACGGAATCATTAACAAATTTCTGTAAAATTTTTTAAATAATAATAAATGATGTCAACAACTTGTGATTAATAAAATTTTTTTGAATAAGAGTAAAAAATCAACAATTATTACCATCTCAAGTGATTCGAAAGCATGTTTATGAGATTCATAATATTCTCGATTAATTTTGACGAATTCTATAACTGTATAATCATATCTTTTTTTATCACTTCTAACATTTTCATCATGTTCATCATTTCCAAAATTTTCATCAATTTCATTTTCTCGTTCATTAACATTCTCGTAATTTTCTCTTCCATTTTCATTTTCATCATCATTTTCTCGTTCATTTTCATTTTCATCATCATTTTCTCGTTCATTTTCATTTTCATCATTTTTTCGTTTATTATCATCATAATCTTCATCCTCTCCATCCTCTATAAAAAAATTATCTATATTACATAAAAGAAAATATGAATTAGCCAATTCAAAGTAAAGTGTTGATGATGGAAAGTGATGAAAAGATATAATTCTTACCATTATCATCATTTCGAGGACAATTTTTTATAATGATTTCATATTTAGTTTCCGAACATTTTTCAAGTCTTTCCAAAAGAATATCCGTTGTGGATATCAAACTTTGTAAATATCTTTGTATTGTAATAAAGAAATAACAATAAATAAAGAGATGTTATATAATGCAAGACAAAAAAAAATTTTATTATTATTATTATTATTATAATTACCCAAAGGATTGTCCTTTATATTCTTTAATAAGATGTATAATGAGATCGAGATTTCTTTGATCCTTATATAATTTATTAATAATATATTCCGCATTATATCGGGCTTGTCTGTCATCTGACCTTTTCATTGCTACAACGGTTAATAACTAAATTATGAACAATAAATATTTCAAATAAATAAATAAATAAATAATGATAAAAAAATGAATAAAAAAAATGAATAAAAAAAATGAATAAATAAATGAATAAATAAATAAGTATTTTTAGAACTCCCAACCATTTGTTTTAAGCATTCAATTCCAAAATGTATATCAGACCATAACTATAAATGTTATGAGTAAAATTATATTAATTAATTATAAGAATTAAATGAATTAAAGAAAGAATTCATAAAATATTAGCGCTGTGTTTTTTGAAAAAAATGCTTGGGAAATTA